GTAATTACACATGGCGAACAATTATATTTGCATAAAAATAGCATACATGCGATGATTAGCATAACAATGGCCCATCCAATTTCATGTGTAAATATGACTTTTGTAAACATTGTTCCACGTTGAAGCAAAGAGTCAAAAGCTTGTTATAGCAAGGGTGATTTTGTGGCGGACCGACCGCTGGCACGCGTGTCGTGATGGCTCTTACTGTAGAAAGGACACAAAGACGAACCTAAACATAAAATAGCGTTTTAGCTTTATTCGGAATGTGACGCTTGCAATAAAATAAAAATATATTATTCACACGATTCTACCCTAAACGTGGAATGTGAATTAAGATTCAGAGGCGAAATTTAGTGACTTTTTGGCAAGTTTCCTTAGACCTGATAACAAAAATGAGACTGCGGTAATAAATCGAAATTACAGTCTTTTTTTGTTCATTTTCGGGCTCAGAGTACTATAGTCAACTATTTGAATACTATAGTAGTCTGAGTTTCGGGGACTGTGTAATCTGGTGTGGCGATGACTTTATTCAAACAATTTTAGTCATAACATGAAACTATAATTCCATGGTCATAAGAATATAATTACTTGCCCCGTTACGGTTTGTGTTTGCCGCGAAATGTGATCACGTTTTCTTTTTACTCTGCATTGTTCGCGTTGGCTCCCTGACGGGATTAGGTATGGGATATCGCTTTGATACAAGCGTGTACCATTATGCGTGTACACAGATGTTGTAAGATTTTATCGATATCTCACTTGCTAAGTGTAAACGGTTGTCGAATTGACAGCCAGGTTGGCGAACATCTATACATTCTGTATATCTAAGACAAACGCGTTCATACTGATACCGCGATATTTTTGTCAGAATTAAACGCGTTTTGCAACGTGGTTGGCTATGGTTAGGTAGAACGTATATTAGTAGGCATGTCCGAGTAGATATTATGAAAAACAAATGACCGCTGCTGTCAAAGTCGTTATCCAAAATTAAAGTTAATTTTCATATCACGGAGATAATTGTATACTACATCACGGAAGTTAATAGCCATATACAGAGAAAGCGTCTGGTGTTCATTGCGAGTGAATCGAGTCAGCTATCGATGCCCGCTCGGCACACTACTAAGCACCCTTATATTAGTTAAATGTGGAGAACTTAAGCGTGAAAGTGTATTTTAACTTGATTCAATTACTAAACTATCAAGTAATATTACAACGTCACTATCTGAATAATATAGCCTAGGGTCGTGTAATGGTACACGTAGAAGTACGTGATAACAACGACGCGCCTATACGCAATTAAAACATCATGTTGATGAACGTAATGGTAATTTTACTTGAACCTCAAAGCAAATGCACGTGAAAAATAACGAATATCGCAATACTTACGCCAATTTGTTCCGTGCACCAGCACCTACCGTGATATTGAGAATAAAACGGATTCCTAGATCGTAGGGAATATTTCAGACCATTCAGATTACAAGTAGTTTGAGTTAATATGTAAAATGTTTCTATTAAATTCGATTTATCTTTTTGCGAACAATCGCAAAGAAGTGTAAACTGTCCCTTAGGGACAACACCAACACTTTTCTTTTCATTTTTTGGGGGCTGTCGACGATGCTCATTGCGTTTAACGAAATATCTTCTCGCCGAAAGGTCGTTAATCTAATGATGTGGCATAATGTCTTAAAATAATGCCTTAGCTGAAAGCTATCAAGAGATAATTCTAAGATCTATGAGCAAGGTTTGTTGCCAAGTGTTCAGTTATCCGGAGAAATTAGCGATAAGATCGAGAAAGCGAAAATGTCGCCTTATGACGTCTACGCTGTCCCTGTTTCAGCGCGGCATTTCGTTCTTATTGGACGAGCAATATTTCCTCGCTTCTATATTTAATTTCTTGTGACTTAACTGTTTAGTTAATTGGTTCAACTAATAGCGAGTTATCGGACTCGGTCATCATTCTCGTTGTCTTTTCCTTCCTATCGGACTGTGATAATAGCCCACTTTGAGGACGCCGTATTTGCATGGCGTCCGCCTGGAAACGCGAGTAAATACGCGAGACATCCCGTAATCGAATCACGAAAGAAAGAAGTTACTTGTTTCTGGTGTTTGGTCAATATATGACATGTGAAATGACCGAGTGATACCATGCCAACTATCAACCACTGTCGCAGACTGTCGGGGTTTTCCAAAGAGGTCTTTCAGACGTTTCGACGTATTCGATCTGTCAAGCGATTAATTCTATCTAATATAATTATACTGTCTCTGAAATGTTAGCATCTGACAAAATATACACTCTCAAGGAAGGGAAGTAAATAGTTTACCGAAGAGACTGCATTTCACTATTATCGAACTTGTTTCGACATATTGCCCATTCGTTTATTCCGAGTTAGTGTGATTACGATGACATCCACGTGGCGAATATAGTCAAAGAAACGACGCCTCGTAGACATATTTGTCTAATCGTTTTATATGGTAACCGTAAACCACCGTTTTCCGTAGTGTGTGTAATGTGACGTCATCTTACGTTAGCAATAACATATTCCGGTTATCTCGACACTTACCTCATTACTAAAAGCAATTGTGAACAACTTTGGTTATTTTTGAGCGTGTTTATGTTTATGTTTGTGTTTGCCATTGCGTTAATAAAATACTGACAAAAATGTTGTAATTATCTTTATGTATAGACTAATCAGACTCAATTAACGAATATTACTATGTTTGCTGCAAAAAAAAATAGGTTTTATTTGTAGACAATAATACAATAATATTTTTCTCAATATGCATTATCGACAAAAAATCATGTTTAAATATATTTATCCACAAAGTATCTTTGGAAAATAAACAATGATCTCTATCTCAGACATGTATAAAATATTTCCGTTTTGATGTTGTCTATGCTGGTTTCTTCGATGACATGTTTTATATATGCTTTCGCATCTATGATAACTCCAGTCATGAATTGAGGAATCGAAATCACACCTAATCATATTATATACCGTGCGTATATAGTGCCCAATATGTAGAATACATTTTTTATTGTATTCAATATTAATTATTTGGTCTATTTTTTGTCTTTAGACATTCGAGCGTCAACAGCGGCTTTCCTGCTCCACCCAAGATTATTCAAACCCACCATATTAACGTGTAATACTGACATAAGATCAACCCAATATCACCCACATTTGCATCAATCATCTACAAGACAACGCGTGATGGACGTACCCACAGAAGAACCTCTTGCACCTACACTACCCATCAAGCCAAAGCGACCGAGACGCAGGCGAACAGCGTTCACACAGTCGCAACTATCTTTCTTGGAGAAAAAATTCCGTTGCCAGAAATATCTGAGTGTGTCCGATAGAGGAACGGTGGCCGAGAAGTTAAATCTGAGCGAGACTCAGGTGAAGACGTGGTACCAAAACAGACGGTATGTTCAATTGGAAATTCTACTTTCAAAGAAATGTCAAGTAGATGTGGCACAGTAGTAAACGCATCACATGAATGTGAGGGATCGGGCAAGAAGCATGTCGCCCAAGTTCACCAATGACGCAATAAATGTCAAATCCGTATTCGAATCCGAATCCTTGAACTTGATAGTAGGTTTCCATTGACTGAAGGTCAAAAGAATAATTAGTTTTTGTTTTGTTCTCTCTCAGAACCAAATGGAAGCGCCAGACTGCAGCCTCGGAGCGTATGGAAGAGCTTCGCAGTCACCTGTGCGACGAAGAAGGTTGCCCTGGGCGTTTGCGAAAAGAAGCTGCTCAGAACGGCGTTTACAATGAGGACTTTTTGATGCACGACAGCGACTCGCCAGCAAGCCCAGCAAGCGACATGGACGAGTGTGTGTCGAGCTGCAATGGACTAACAAACGATCAATTCCTCAGGCCGATAGCCCTGGTGTGATTTTTTTCTTATTTTCCTCTTACAATTAAGAAGCCTGCATAACATATGCTAGAACAAAATAACAAATAAACATTATTTAAATCTTTTTTCATTAAAACAGTGTATTCTTCTATCAATACTTGAACTAATAATAATTTTTTAAAAAAACCAGCAACTTCAACGAGTTTATCATTAATTGTTGAACCAAATATACGAAATATAACACTACGGGATTAGAGAAATATTACAGGACAGAACAAATGAAATGTGGGACTGCAGAACGAGAAATGTGACACTGTAGAACAAGAGAAATGAGACTCGGCTTGACAAAAAGTGTGACATTGTAGGACAAGAAATGTGACACTACAGGACAAAAGATTTGACACTGTAGAAATGTGAGATTATAGAACGAAATGACTACTGTGTTCCGTCAATGAGATCTCGCGTTAATTGAAAACTCATCTAACGGCTGCAGCTTGATGGGGTCATATAATGTCAGCTGAACAAGACACACCGCCACCTAACTGACGAACTAAATCATATTTCTGATGCGATTATGATATACAAAATATCTCAAATACACTATACTTACTATTTAAGTATCATTTCCGGTAAATAGCTGCGACCGTAAGATATTGGAAAGACGCCATAATGCCTTTGAGGGCCAAAATAAATTTTTGTTATTTATCATAAAAAAAAACTTCATAATTTGTTTTAAATTGATTCATATATTTTCCTCAAAACATATTGGAATTGGGAGTTATTTCAATTTGGTTCAAAATTAACAAAGAATTTATACAAATGTCCAAAATGTGGCGTAATAATTTTGGCGAAAGAAATTATGACTTTCAAGGAGGGAATGTTTTTCCATTTTTATTAATTTTGACATGTATACACTCCATAGCAACATATTAAAAAATCGAAAATATAAATTGGTGGTCATTGATCACTTTTTCAGGTTTTCTCCTTTAGCGTCCGCCGTAAACAAAATACAAAAATGTCAACGAAACGATTTTGGTGACACATTCCTGTGTGTTCACTGTGGCTCTTTCTCGGCACAAAAATGTGACACAGTTATTTACGCTGTAAGAATAGTTAATGCTAGCAAATTATCTCACACGCTTTTAGCGGAAGTTGTAAAGCAATGCGCGTGTTCGAATAAACAAACATCGTATTTTATATATGTATAATATGTCGCATGGGACTCATGTCTGGAACACGACGCGGTGTGCAGCGTTGAGTGATGCTGGAAATAGTAGTACCCTCATTCACACATGAAATATAAACTGAAAATAGAACATTACTGGTGCCTCGTTTTGGTTATATAATTTCGGTCCCCGCACGTTTTGGAATTCGGTGTCAATTCTTTTTTTTAAACAAGCATGTTGGTTACACTACAAAACAATTTGATTTCGAGTCGACGCCAATTATGGTGACTAATTCTGCCAACAAACTGGCGATGACTTAAAGTCATTCTGCCACTCGCCGACTCCAATTCTTAGAGTGTTGTACCATACTATAGATAAGTTTACTGCAATGTATATATTAAATAATTCGTATGTACGGCATATGATATGTGGATGTAAATATTACCAGCCGTTTTCTGGTTATGTTTCCTTTTCGGGGGGTATTGCGGGGAGGGGGTTCAATATCAATTACATACTTTCAACTACTGCTTCACTTTTGTTATCACGACAATTTTATATTATTATATTAAAAACCTATAAGTTAAACATAAATCTAATTTGTCATGTACAATTTCTTATATGTGATATGTCATATCTATGTATTGTATATTACCGAGATGCTTACCCTGGGGGATACACAGACGAGGGAGCGAGTGTGAAAGGTCGCCAATTGATGAACACCTCATAAATAGGGCTTGAAAAGAAATGATTCATGCTAGTAACATTAAAAAAAACGACCCGAGTATCGCAATAGCTAGCCATGTTTAGTTGAACTGATTCGCTCTACCGCCTCGGTTTATTTTTTGCCTCTCATAGTTTTATATGGAGTTTTACACACTTTGTTTTTAAATTGAAATACCTCTTTTTTCGCAGAAAATGTGGGCGTTGTTCATTATACATCGATTTTTAAAATTTCACTAGACCCTTGCAATAACTGTAGTGAAAAATTGGTTTTATAGTACAATGAGAATTACTAGTTTTATAAAAATAAATGACAATTATAATATAATTGACGTTCCATTGAAGGATACATATTGGCTCAGTCTCGGATTTTGACGACACAGGTTCAAGTATACACCCACATACACCAATGTAGTCGCACCGCTTCGAACGGACATATTTTAAAGTTACACTATAATAACAACTAAGACGCACTCGATAACAAGACCTTGATACGTAAAACACGTCAAAGTGTCGTCGAAGTGTTTCGTTGTGTGATTGAAACAGAGAGAATTGACATCGCTATGCCCTCAATTAAAAAGGCAATGTGGATGGCTTTGAGTATTTTTGAGAATAATTACATCCTTCTGCTTTGTATTTGGCCTTGGTGGAAGCAATAAAACATGATTTATCGTAAAATAAAAAATGCCGTTTGGTGGTAAACGTAGTACTCAAAAATGCGCATGTCCCTGTTTTATCTGCATGTAGGAACAGGGAATTCATAGCTTTGTCACTCGTAAATCGAACGAATACTACCATGTTTGCTTTTATTTTACGACAAATTATACTCACTGTTTTTATCATAATTATGATGCCTTTTTAATGAATCTCAAGTAGAGCGCAGATTAACGGAGAAAATCAGATTTAGTCCTAATCTCAAGTTCTCAGCCAGTTACCACACATAGAAAACTGTCAAAATTTCAAATTCGTCTTGAACCCGAACGATATTTCATTTCTGTGTTCCCACTGGCAGGTGAATTTTATCTCTTTTTTGTTGCTCGTCCCATTGTCTCAGGATAGAAAACCGAGAGGAAAAATGATATTCAAAAAGTAAACTAATCTGTCTTCTATGTAATTATTCTAAAATTGAAGATGAGTATCACTTAATATTAATTTGCTCGTTTTAGAAGCATTTTAGGTGGAATACATTACAAGATATTAATTTCCACTGCCTATAATACAATAATTCTGTGGGATTTATGAGAACTTTTGACAATCGCGTACTACAATCCATGGCAGCTTATCTGTACCATTCCTCAAAAACCAAAATTGAAATTTACAAACATCTTACGTGATTTTACGACATATTTTAGTTTAATTGTTTAACCGGGCTTTGGACTATAATACAGACCAATAATAATAACAACGTATCTGAGCCTACAGCGATTTACTCATAAGAGTAATACACCGGGTCTGTTCCCCTTTCTACTTTGGTTGTAACCGATATGCAACTTACGCCTGTAAGGCGAGCAATCCGTGTTCATCGCCGTACGCAGTGCGCATGCCCAAGATATTCAGTGTACGTACACCTAATAAACATTATTGAATGCAATTGTTGTATTATATACTAGGACATCTTTTCAGACGTGGATACAAAACATAACATAATAGACTGGTCAACTTGTAAATCGCTTACTGCGCAACAAATAAATGTTCGAAATTAAACTAAATTGTCTCCTCTTTCAAGTTTTGATGTGTTTCCGCCGCGTAAGTACAAAACCTGTTTTACACAACACTTTTTCTTGCGTTAACGCTTGAATAACAGCTCTTTGTTGCTATATTGAATATACGTTTAATACACACAGCCGTTCTAGTAATAAAAAGGGCACGCTCTCAGCAATAAAACTCACTCCGATCTGCATATCCACGAGAGTGTGTGTAAATCTAATTTACATTGATTTGCGATAAACCATAAAGCACCGTTAATTCAGTGAAGTCTCGCTGATTTAATTGCCGGGGAGGGTCGTCTTTCTACTGGCGCGTTTTATACTTTGCGCTGTCGCTTCCAATCATCGGACGTCTTAACATGATACACCCGACATGCTATTCGGAAATTAAATGTAACGTCGTCCAATTCAGTACAGTTATTGTTTTGAGTAAATTGCGCTGGTTTGTAAACATGTCGTTGGTGAATTGAGTTTTGATCAGTTCTGTCAATGAGTATCGTGTGTATTTATCGTGTGTGCTGTTAAAAAATTAATATGACCAAATGATGCTAGGAAATTGATATGTGTAAATATTATATGGATGTCATACTACAATTGCACTTATGTCACGTGGATATTCAACTTGAAATATCAAAAGTTGGAATATAAATGCATTTTCGTCTCACGCGATTTTAATTATGGCATATCGACATAGGACAAACCTTGCATGCGCAACGAAAAACAAATCTTCAGTTCCAATCAAGCTGGTACTTATGTCCGTAACAATGCGTTTTAAAGCTCTCCAAAAAGAAATACTGATTCCCACGTGTGCGCTCGTGTTTATTGGTGAATGGGTATCGATAACTTGCACTATATCACCATCCACCTTATCTTGTTCAAACGTGAACTCACGTGAAAGTCAACAATCTATATTATGTACCGTACCACAGTCCCTCAACAAGGAGGAGGGGCTGTGACCGTACGTATTGGTCTCTTTCGAAATTCATGCGTAGGCGTCCCGGGCGTATTCCACAGTCACGAACATTACTGGTGCCTCGTTTTGGTTATATAATTTCGGGCGCGAGCGCACGTTTTGGAATGCGGTCCAATCATAACCGCCATTTGTGTTCAGCTTCGATTGTTTCTAGCTTTGTATGAATCTCACTGAAATAGTTCCTAAACTGTCTTTCCACGTCACCGTGACCTGATAGAATGTATGATAGTTACCGCGAAATTTATAAGCACCCGCAGTCAGCGACAAATGTGTAAGCGCGTGTAAGTTGGTGTATGTGCGCGCGTCACGGTTTAAATCAGCTTCTAACAAATCTACGTTGGTGACGTAAAACCTCATAGATACCCGCAAATGGTCTATTGGTATAGATCATCGCATGACTCTCTATCTATCTATTACTACTACTCGCAAAGTTTATTCGTTTCTGAGCTCTTTCTTATCTTCACATGCACTCTC